CCTAGGGAGCAGCTGACATCATTCTCCTCTCCCAACTGAAAATTCCAACTGCCTTGCGGGGGGGGGGGGAGTTTCAGGTGTGGAATGGAGTGTAGTCCAATCAGCTTCCATATGTAAATGACCTTGGAACACTGGCCGGGACTGCACAAAGCAGCCAATGAACCCAGCCAGTGTCTTCCGAGTGGCAGTTTTTTCGGCCTAACACTAAAGGAGTGCATTTTAGAACTTTGGCACCCAAAACTCTTTTATTATAAGGGAGAGATTACCACCAAGTCTAAATGGTCCAGAACTCGGAAACATTGCTGCCACAGTGAAGACACATGTCCAGCTTGAGAGTCAAACCAATGTGTGTGCTGGAGCAGGCTCATAAGCTACTGAATGATAACAAATTAGTTGCCCATCCCTGCTGTCATTAAGAGCACAGCAATAACTGAGCTACAAGCAATGAACAGCACATTCAAAAGTAACTAGATTATTATTTTATGGCACCCCAAAGAATGCTATGCACTTCAGAGCTAAGTAAAAACAAAGCAAATGTGCACAGCCATGCCATACACAGACATAAGAAATAATCCACTGAACAAAGAAAATAAAATGTAGGGCATAATATTCACTATAAAATCTCTTGGAAGCTGTTTTTACAATATTGGAAGAGATCTTCTAATCAGAGCGTTCCTATGGAAGCACTGATATTCTGAGGCACTTTGGAATTTAGCTTTCAATAAGCACTTTATTAATAAGATAGGAGTTTCATCATTGTTAACTGTTGATGGTTTATTATTGTGTAATTCTTGTAATTCATATGTGGGGGAATTGTATGAATGATTTTTTTCTTCATTATTGTAGTCCCCACTCCAAATCAAATCAACAGATTGAAAAAAAAAATCCCTCTCAAAAGAAACACATGAGGGTTGTTGTGTGCAACTAAGTACAATGTATGTGTGTACCCTAGGGTTGCCAACGCTAGGTTTGGAAATTCCTGGAACTTTGGGGGTGGAGCCTGGGGAGGGACCTCAGTGGGGTATAATGCTTCCTTCCAAAGCAGCCGTTTTCTCCAGGGAAACTGATTTCTGTAGCCTGGAGATAAACTATAATACCAGGAGACCTCCAGGCCCTACCCAGAGGTTGGCAACCACAATAGTACAGTCTATAAAGGTAAAGGTTCCCTTGCTCGAAAGCCAGTCGAATCCGACTCTAGGGTTGCAGTGCTCATCTCCGTTTCAAAGCCGAAGAGCCAGCGCTGTTCAAAGACATTTCCGTGGTCATGTGGCCAGCATGACTAAACACCAAGGCACACGGAACGCTGTTACCTTCCCACCGAAGTGGTACCTATTTATCTACTTGCAATGTCTTGCTTTCGAACTGCTAGGTTGGCAGGAGCTGGAACTAGAGACGGGAGCTCACTCCGTCATGTGGCACACTTGGGTCTCAAACTGCTGAACTACTGACCTTCCACAGCCTGCAGTTCAGCGTCTTAACCACTTGAGCCACCGCAGCTCCAGTACAGTCTATACAGAGTCTATTTATGCTACAAACTTATATTGGTTTTTTAGCCGCTCAGCTACCATGCCTCCCCATCCTAGGAACACTGTTTTGCCGAGGAGGCTGCAAATTCTCTTGGCCTCAAAAGCAGCTTCTCTAAATACTGTAGTTATCTCTTTTTAAAATCCTTTTTCTACTGATATCTCCTCAGCCAGAGAGAGGGGAGGGAGTGGGTGGAGACAGATGTACACCTTTGATAAAATAGTATTCTTTGTTGGCTCTTCTTTCTGACCTCATTGCTTTACTCTTTGATGTCTCAGTCCCATCTCTGGGTCTATGGGTTCTGCCCCTTGACATCACTGCTGTCCTCCAGGTGAGTACGCCCTGCTCCTTACCAGATTTGTTTATTCATTGTTCAGGCAAACCCAAGGTTACACCAGCTTAAGTCTATTAATTGAGATAATGCCCATTGAATCACAAAAGCTGCTGCTGCCTAATCTGTGAGGTATTTAAAAGTATGTTTTCAGTATTCTGGGTTATAAAGATGCAACTTCAGTCAGGTCCTGAGCACAAAACTACACCCTTTTATCAAATTATCCCAAGAAGTGATTATTAGATACAACTTTGCTTTACCCAGATATCCTGTCTACAGTTGTAGCAGTCCAGGAGACGTGTGTGTGCGTGCCCAATACTCTATGAGTGTCCTAAAACTAATCGTAATGGACCATATCCGATTCATCAAAATCACAAGCGAATATTGATAAAGTTATGCAACTTCATTCTGAGTAAAATTTGCCATGGTTTAAAAACAAAAACAAACTTTATACACAGCTTGCTTATTATATATCGTATCTCCACAAATAAAACAGACATCAAAAACCTAGCCTATATAGGAGATAGACAGAGCCGTTACAGACACAAACTGGCAGCTGCCTTAGTTGCATTCTAGCATATGGCAAGAAGAGCATAAATGCAGAGGGGCATATGGCTGCTAAAGTCTCAGCTGCCCCAGCACGCATTTAACAACATGGGGCTGCCATCTTTCCCCCCTAGTCCTGCTCCATTGCCTTTAAAGCAGGAATATAGAAGGTGAAATTTTTCCTTCCTCTTGTCAACACTCTGAAAAACTTCTCCTACTGAGTTTCTGGGTGTTATAGGAACAAGCGCAAAGGCACTTAAAAAAGAAAAGGCCAGTTCTCTGAGATACAAAAAAATAGTACCTGCAGTCAACTTAACAGCAAATCAGCATCTGAATTAATTCTTTGACTAACATGTAACTGTTATAAATAAGAACAAATATCATATAGGACCCTCTGCTAACAGAGCTACATGGGTGACCCCAATGTTGGAACCAGCTATTATAGGAGACACACAGCTGCTACTGAAAACTGCAGTCTGGTATGTTCCCTGATATCGTCCAGTAATAAATGCATGATGTGGCATCACACCATGCTATGAATTTCCCCACTCCACTTGGCTTCTGCATGTGGGAGAAAATTGCAATGGAGTCATGATATGTACTGCTAGACGAAAAGGAGACGGAGGGCTGCTGATTTTGGTAGCAGCCATGTGTCTCCTGTAACATCCAGTTCTGGTCCTAGACATGTAGACATACCTATTCCTTTTTGACAAGACATTATCTATCTATCTATCTATCTATCTATCTATCTATCTATCTATCTATCTATCTATCTATCTCTATCTATATCTATCTATATCTATCTATATCTATCTATCTATCTATCTATCATCTATCAATCCATCTATCAATCCATCAATCCATCTATCAATCCATATATCATCTATCAATCCATCTATCAATCCATCAATCCATCTATCTATCCATCTATCTATCCATCTATCCTCTATCTATCCTCTATCTTCTGTCTGTCTCAGTTAAAATAACCCTTTAACTCATATATTTAATGTACACATTTACTTATTTTATTTAATTCATTTATACCGCACTTTTCTTCCCAATGGGAACACAAAGTGGCTTACATCATTCTCCTCTCCTCCATTTTATCCTCACAACAGATCTGTGAGGTAGTTTAGCCTGAGAGAGTGTGATTGGCCCAAGGCACCCAGTGAGCTTCCATGGTACGAGTGGAGTTTCGAACCTGAGTCTCCCAGATACTAGTCCTACAATCTCAACCACTATGGCTCTCATATTTAGCTTAAGTGCTACCATGAAGTACTAGTAGTGAGGGATAAAGATCTGTCTACGACTCACAGACTAGCATATAAGAGGAGAACCATTACAGAACTGCTGTTACCCAATAACAACCTTGCACTCAAGCAATAATTCAGGAGGGAAATAGCCTTCATGTTAATAAGCTGGTACACATCCTTTGACTCTGGTCTCTTTAATTCCCTATACGAGGAATAAAGAAGCCTTGGGGCTATTTTGCTAGCACATGCCAGACACCTACATGAAGTGGCATGTGTCCTCTGGGCCCCCAGTGTCTGCTTACCTGGAAAGGTCCTGCAGGGTTGATAGGTACATGTGCTTGTTGCCAGGTATTTCCTCTGTTCCCACTGAGTGACAAGGCTAGAGTGGGCTGCTTATTCTTCACGTGAACCCAGAGATTTAAGAAGCCTGTAAGAAAGCAGCACCAGACACTGGAGTCACACTGCTTCTCCACTGCAGTCTCCTCCTCCCTCTTAGGTGGGTCAGTCTACATCTGCAACTGAGCCTAAGCCTTGCTCCTACACACTGGTCCTTCCAAACAAACTTGGGCATGTGCCAGAGAACACCAAATACCCCAAAATTGATACACTTTTCATTAAGGCAAGTTGGAAGGACAAACATAATTTTAAAAGACCGTTTCTCACCCTGAGTAGAGCTTCCCCTCAGAATATCCCCTTGAACCTAGCTAATTGCCTCTCTGTCTGGTTCTGCTACAGTGCCAACAAGATGTAGCATAGATTTAGGAATGATGCTATATTAGATATTGCATTCTATATGATATTCTCAAATTGCCCGCAAACCAAGCTGAAAGCCTCCAGAAATGGAGGGCTCCTGCACCCCATTTTATACATATTGGACAGCATCAACAGAAATATGAATTCAAGCTCAGTCACCTTCTTTGTACAAGCCCTTCGCTTCAATCAAGCTACAGTTATTATTGCCCTGCCCTGGGCAGTTAATGAGCCAATCAAAGTCCTCTGCGGCAGGATCCTTTTCCGAGCAGAAATGTATTGCCTGACTTGCTTCCACCCACTGTTCTCCTGATATAAATGGCTCACTAAGTGTTTTCCTGCATGGTTGGTCACCATGGGAAATGCACAAAGACTGGCCCAAGGTCACATGAGCTGGATGAAGTCAACGTTCTCAGATTGCCAGCAAGACTTCCTATGATCCATGCTGCACCTGACTATTGTCACCAGCAGATCCTGCTTAGGAACTAAGTAAGCCTGAATGAAAAGGGAGGGGGGCTTGGAGCCCAGAGTTGCCAGCCTCCAGGCGAGGCCTGGAGATCTTCCAGAATTACTACTGATCTCCAGAGAAAAGCAATCAGTTCCCCTGGATAAAACGACTGCTTTGGAAGGTGGACTGTATAACATTATAGCCTGCTCAGGTCTGTTTAGCCCCCAAACGCTCCTTTCCTAGGCTCCAACCCCGAATCTCCAGGAACTTCCAAACCTGGAGCTGGCAACTCTAGGAACAATTGTTTGGTAAATGAAGTCTTATTATAGCCTGTGCCTAGGTAGCATTCAAGACAGGACAGTGTTTTAAGTCAGGAATGTACTGTTTCATATCTTTATTTCTAAATGCCTGAGTTGTACATTTTCTCTGACTTCCTTTTTAAATCAATGTCTCATTGGAACTCAAGTTCTAAATGGTCCTGGTGTAGACTGTTTCAAAGTTTTTGTCAAGAAATGCTCTGATTGACCTGAAAAAAAACAACCCTTGAGAACTGACTAAAGAAGTTTGGATGCCGAGTCTGGAAGGGGCAAATACTACAATAAATAACAATAACAACAATAATAATTTATATAATACTCTCATAATACAATGCACTTCATGTACATCATCTTGTCATCATCCTTACAATGACTCCATTTTCTGAATCAGTGTTATTATCATGCCCACTTTACAGAATCAGGACAGAAACAGGGAGAGAAACAGAGCGACTTCTTTAAGATAATTGTGAGTTTGGGGCACAGTGAAATGTGAATCATAGACTTCCTGATTTGGAGCTCGGGCACTATGCCAACGGTGGAACAGCGATTACTTCCCCCAAGTTTAAAAAAAAATAAAAATGTAAATTGCAAACAAAGGGGCTGTAATTTAAAGAGGTGGTCAAGTGCGGGGGAGAAAGGTGCTTTCACCTTGAACCCTTTTCCTGTTGAAAATAACCACCCCCAAGCTTCTGGCCCACTGCAAGTCTTCCTCAGTGGGGAAAAGAGTTAAATCCGCTCCTCATACATCTAAATCACAGTCCCTGTGGCTTCAGTCTGCTTCAAAAACAGCCCATCTGGAGAAAATAATCTGCCCTAAACTAACCTCTTGGAATAAAAATGTGTTACGGTGGGGGCAGATTGCAGTGTAAATGGTAAAACAGGCAAATCTGTTCTGGTTCTGGTCACCTCATGGCTGTGACTGAGTGAGGGGCTATAGATACCACACCATAAAAGGACACCCTTGGTTCTGTGATATTGGGCTGTGGGGAGAGACTAACAAAGGCAGTCAGATGAATTCTGTCACTCTGCATTATGGATAGCCTCAGCTGTCTTTTCCTTAAATGGAAAACTTGATTAAAATTGATGCATTGAACCAGGACTTTTGCTTGGTGACTTAAATCACCGATTTAAATCAATCCATATCAGCTCAGCAAGTAAAATATTTCCTTCACAAGGAATTACCCATAGCACCTTTGCTTTGAATACTCAAATTGCCTAGCAAGCAGATTCCTAATAATAATAGTGTTGATGCTGATGATTTACTTTGGCTGAGAATTGTCTTTTCTTGTCTCTTAGCTCTATAAACTCCATGCCCCAGTACTATAGTATTTCATTTTACCAGTCAAGACACTAGTCTACCAAAAGAGGATGTTATGGAAGGATGTTATGAAAGGCAAGGTCAGCATCCTGATTTCTACTGTGTTCTGATGGTTTCTGTAACTGTTGTCTAGCTTTGTGTTTAGCTTTTTCTTCATTGGGGTGACCCATAAAAAATAAGTTTGTGGTAATAAGGCTCTGCTACACCTGACTGCTATAAGTAACACTGGCCTTGGGTGTACAAGGCCCTGATCTGATGTAGAGATTATTAGGAGAATGACAGGCAGGAGTAGGCCTTTGAGTAACTGTACAAAGAGTCCTTGATTGTAGTACCCTCCCAATGTTCTCGCTAAGCTGGTACACTACTAAGCATGACCTGGTGCACTATTTTTTACTCTAGGGTTGGCCAAGTGTGATTTTCACCACAGCGGGGGACTCCCGGCTGGTGGCTGGAGTGCGCGCGCTGCATCTACATCACTCGGAAGTGACGCGACCACGCCGGGCATGCCAAGCGACCGTGGCCCCGCCCCCAGCATGCCTGGCGTGGTTGCGTCACTTCCGGGTGACGTGCATGTCGGGGTGGGGTTCTCCCCCCAGGGCCCGATCCACTGGCGGCGGGGAACGGGCCTCTGGGGCGGGGGTTTCCCCGGGGGGACTTGGGAGGCCTATTTTACTCTGAAGTGCACAGATTTTATACTGCAACACACCCCTGGCCATGGTGGGGAGGGAGCAAGCTCTGAGCCTGGCTTTGCAGGAAGGAAGGCAGGAATGTAGAGAAGTGGCAGAACTCGGTATGGGGCTGCTCGACAAGTCATTGTGGGTACTGCAGAGGGGCGCAAAGGAAATCTTGCCCGCAGCTGGCCTCCATGTTCAAAATTCTACCTTCTCTTATGTTGCTGTAGCAGTTCTAACTTTTTCAACATCCCTGTTTTATTGCTCTTAATCCCCTTGATCTTGCATTTATTTGGCACTCTCAGGTTACCTAGGCTCTGTTTTTTTAAAATAATATAAACCAGGCCACAACACTTTTTAAAGCATAAGTCTCTGGTTGTCAAACTCCTCTAAGAAATGTATCGTAAACTTCCATTGTATGTTGAATAGATTTTTTTTTGTACAGCTGCAGTTTGCCCAAGGAGTGTAGAAGTATTTTAGGTTTAAGCAAAAAAAGCCTTCTCAGGAGGAAGATTAATGCTTTATTAAATGCTGAGGAAGCTGTCCATTGTGCAAAACGTTTTTATGTGTGCATCTTGCAAGAGAATTCTCTGTTCCAAAGTGCAAACCTAATCGGTCTGATCCTGCCTTTGGGAAATGAATTCCCTTTGTGGAGCGTGTATTTGGGAAGTAAATTCCCTTTGTGGAATGTGTATTTGGTAAGTGAACTAAATCTTCTAGGTGTTTGTGAAACTTTTCAAGCCTCTGCTGATTGTGAGAGAGGTTTTAGCTTGATGAATGCCATTAAAAATAAGATTAGAAATTGGCTAAATATTGATCACCTGGAGAACAATGAGAATTAAACTGCATATGTCTAATAGGAATAATATCAATATTGACACTGTTTATAATTTCTGGAAAACATATAAAAGAAGAGAGAAGTCAAAGCATTTTCTATAATGGATTTTGACTTCGTTCTGTTTTCACTTATAATGTTTAAATCATTCTTAAAATACAGTTTAAAAGAATTCATTCTGGGATATTTACAAGGTTATGGTAATAATCTTCTAGGGAACTAATTTACGTGATGGTTGGGTGTGGGCTCACTCACAGCCTTGATGCTGGTGGCTCCTTTGGCCCACGAGGTTGAATTTTAGCTCAAGGCACCGCACAGCTTAGAGGGAACATTGCCCTCCACTGCAAGTGCAAAACAACAGCTTTCAGGAAAGAGTATATTGAGGATGGAGGAAACCTGGAAAGAGGACAATTACAGCATGATGCCATGTGGAAGCTTTAAAAAAGAACTTTATTTTGGAGGCCAAGGAAGAAAAAAACTCAATGTGGAAGCAGTCAGGATGGTATCAGTCATATGAAATACCAGATAACATATTCTGCAATAAGCAGCAAAAAACAAAAATGAGCAAAAACACAAAACCTGCATAGCTGAGCCAATAATCACATGGAAAATATTATGTGTGAAATGGATCTTATTTTTAAAATGTGTAACATTAAGAAAGAGGGGAGTGTTTCTCTGTGACCTTACGAGGGCAACAGCACCACCTAGAGTGTTTGGGATCTTGGACCTTTGGTGGTTTACATTAGAATGACCCATTCACCTCCATTCCATTTAGGACTATCCTGGAAGACTTAATCCCTTCTGGACAAAGGACCATCTGGTTTGGACCAAACCATCTATTTGTCATGGAGGTTCAGGGCTATTACTAAATGTCTGGTGGGCACATGGGACTATATTTTATGTGGCTCTGATTAGTAATAGTAGCCTCTAAACTTTGCTTACTACAATTTATTTCCCTGGGATATTTCTCTCAGTCTCTTCTCCACGTGCTGAACTGCACTGGTGCTACCTAGCTGATTATAAGATATTTTTTAGGGTTTCTGCCCTGTCACTTTGTCATTGCTCTGTACTGGAAGAATACCTTCTCA